TCGACCACCGTATAATTAACCCTGCTCTCCAACCCGAGCAAAAGGTCGAAGTTGCGGAGCCCGACATCGGCGTCAATGGCCACCACCGAGAACCCGAGGCGGGCCAACGAGAGACCCACATTTGCGGTGGCAGCAGTCTTTCCAACTCCACCTTTTCCGGAGGTGATCACCACAACGCGCGTAGTCTCCCCTGCCAGCTGCGGCTTCCTATTCCATTGCAGGGCGGATGCAATGGCGACTGAACGCCTGGGTTTTGGGTAGGATTTTAGGGTCTTGGTAAGGTTTAAAGGTTTGAAACGAAGGACACAGCAACATGGGTTCAGCATTTGCAGGGTAGAATTGCAATCACCATTAAACACCTCTGGCAATGGGATCCACCCCCATCTCGGCAATATCCCAAGCAACCGGAGCCATAACAGCAGATTTTGAAGGATTCCCTTCCATCAAAACAGAAAAATGGCAAAGAAGAAGAAAGAAAATGCAAGAACCAACGGAAGCAGAGATCGAAACAGAGCCGGAGGCAGAAATCGAAACAGAAAGCAGAGATCGAAACAGAGCCGGAAGCAGAGATTGGAACAGAGCTGGAAGCAGAGAGATTACCGGCCATAGCAGCATCACCGGCCTGATCAAGCCGCAAGATCTGAGAAACCTTTCTCAAAAAAAGAAAAAGACAAAAGAAGAAAAAGAAGAATCAACGGAAAACAAAAAGAAATCAAGAGGAAGTCAAACAAAAAATGAAAAGGAAGAATCGGGAAACTCAAAGAAAGCCCCAACAAGCCAAAAGGATAAATTGCATAAAATCCCAAGAAAATAGGGGTTTGAACCAAAAGGGCCTGCCATACCAAGAATCCACACAACAAGAGCCACGTGCGCAAAGTGGCTGCCAAAAAGCAGAAAAATTCGGGAAATGCAGCCGTAAAAAAGTGGAAATATCAAAGAAGGGCCTGAACAAATCTACAGAATAATTAATAGAAACTTTTAAAGGAAACTGTGCCAGGAATCACAAAGAAAAACCTGTGCTGCACTCTTTTTTTCCTTAAACTAGATTTTTATCTCACAGGGTTTTTTCTAGTTAAGGTTTTTAACGAGGCAGTAATGTTTAAAAAATGGGAACCTGCGCAGAATTCAGAGTCAAGATCAACAGAGCAAAAAGGCAGACATTTGTTGAAGTTTTTCGTTATCCTCAAACTTCTTCGTTTGAGGGCAAATGTTATACCCTAAAAACAAGTCCTATAATAATTAGGACACGTGTAGATAATCTAGAGATAATCCTATTAATGTAAGGATAAAAATAAATTCTGATAGGATAAGAATACCCAAACACCAATTAAATAAAATTGTATTCCTAGAATAACTGTGTTTAAGCATCCTATAAATACCTCTAGGATCAACCTAAGGAGGTAGATTATTTTCCACTATCATTCTCTTTACATTGTAAACTCTCTCTATCAATAAAGATCTTGGTTCCACACCATCTACTCTATTTTTACGGTTAACAGGACTCTTTGTCAAATAAAGACGAGAACTGTTTATGCACGTTCGTTGTGATCAAACATCCATTAAGGACTTCATGGCAAAGTGCAATTATGATCTACCACTATTAAATAAAACAATTGGTAATGTACTAATGGCCTAATTTGGCTGAATAGATATGTTTGAACTGAAAACATAGTGAAAAATAAAGGGGAAAAAAGAAACTGGATGGTTTAAACTGCTTCTTCGAAATATCATATCTTCACCTACCAGTCATATTAGACCCAAGTTAAGCAGCAGGCTACTGTGTACAAATTTCTCACCTGGTGACTTCTCAATAGAAGTGATAATTGATTACTATATATAAATATAAGCTTCTCAGTAGACTATGATTCATTTGTGAAAGTAGGACTCTTACCATTTTTTTCAAAAAAAAATACTCTTACCATTTTGATATGTGAAGGATGTGACATTCACTATCCTGGAAGGAACAGGGCTGTTCTTGAGAAGAGGAGGTAGAATTTTGGTCAGATAGAATGGACCAATGTAATTTATAGCCATCATCCTGAAAAGCATTATAGGTTCTTCAGGCAATTTACAAGAACCAGAAGAGAAGCAAAATATTTAGCTAGATTGATACTCAAGATCATTTTAATCTAGTGTAAATAACCAAAAACTTATAAAAGTGAGAAGTATGGTACAATTAAACGAACACTTCAAAAGTTTCAGTTTCATCAGAGTAAAATGATTAGGCATTCTGAGTTAAAGATTATATGAAGTCAAAAGCAAACAAACACAAGTCTTGGAAGTTGGCACAAATGGTAAAGAGGTGAGTCTCAGTAATGTGAGGTTGAGATTAGTTTCAAACTTCGCGTTATCAAACTGAAATGCATCAGGTATGATCTTTTAGTTAGTCAAACTGGCACAAGAACTATATAGACCTCTTTTGATTGAGCATAGCACAAGAACTCATCATGGCCTTCAGGTGTGAGCCTGGATGATCTTGCTACTATCCCAGCATTATTTATCAAAAGCTGGATTGATGAATGCATTTCTGAGTCCACAAGCCATTTTTGAAATGAGCCTTTAAACTCCAAGATTGATTGGACCGATGACAGGTCAACCTGAAAAGCTTTGAGATGGAAGTCTTCATTCTAGGTCTTTATCTCTGTCATAATCTGTCAAACAATCAAAATTCAGAAATGTATAAAGCAAGTAGAAACTTACAATAATGAACTCATCACATTATCTGTACCTTTGATAACAAATGGGATGAGTGCACAACTGCAGAAACATATAGCTATTAGTGAAACCAGGCAGTCAGGCACCCAGTTACCATGTGATTCATGTCAATCCACTAAAAACACAACCAATCAAGTTCAATGACAGGAGAGTTTAATGTGTATACAACCCCCAAAAGGTCCTTTCAGTACATCTTTGTCATACCTAAGATTAGAATTTTCATAAATCATCTTAGAATGGCTCAATATTAAAAGGCAATTCAAAACGGGAGTTAACCTTTTGTCTTCATACAATGACTAAACAAAATAATGGATGTCAACCATGTGGCAGAAATATTCTCCATACAAAATCATTTTGGCTTTCAAAACCCACAGGGAAGCTAGTGTTCTAAGCAAGCAACCATATAACCAGAAAAATGAATGGAAACCAATATCATTAAATTCACTGAAGAAAAGCGAAAATGAAGGTGAAATAAGTTTGGTCAGATTACCGAGAACAACGAAGAAACCTTCCCTTGAAAGAGCATGAGCTGCTGCAGCTTCTAAACCTGATGTAGCCTGCAGAACATGACACAACACAAGAAAACAAAAGCATTGCATTATCAACACCAGAAGAAATTATTTTGGGCAAGGACTAGCAAAATAATTCCAGGTGAAGAAGATTGCATTACGCCAGTGACAACTCAAACAGGTCTCATAGATGCAGTCACTGGAGAATTGCAGTGAGGATAGGAGTCAGATTTTGAAGAAAAGAGCCTTTGGGTGTATAACTGCAAGTAAGAGGTAAAGAGCGAAACGGTCCAAAGCACGGCCATTCTCCATAAATCTATTGAGCATACAAGATACAAAGCCGCTCTAAACTGCCTCATCATAGCTCCCATCTTCAGTACAAAACTACAAATCACAGGACTTGTTTCAGAATCAAGAACTCTGCCACAAAGCTCAGGAGGTATTTAAGCACTTAACACACAAATTTCTTTTAGACAAATGATCGAACATTTTCCCTTCTATTCTCTTCGTTCTATCCTCAATCTTCCTCCTCTCCATGAATACTTTCACTCTACTCTTCCTCGTACTCTCTACAGTTCCCACGATTGTCGGTGACTCCATGAACTCGCCCGACCAATTCCTTCTCCTCCACTCACATGACATCTGTCTCATCTTCTTCTCCATGATTGTTTCCCTTTTACATTTCCTCATGCTCGTGCTCTCTCTAGGTGCAGAGATTCCCGGTGACTCTATGAGCTAGCGAAAGCGAGTTGGCGGGCCAGTCATGGAGTCCATAGACTCGGCCGGACTTGCTTCCCCGCAACCTTTCGCTCCGCCTTTTTCTTTCTATTTTTGGAAATTCGCCTTCAAACTTATTTTTGAGTTAATTGAGCCCCAAAACTAGAGTTATGCCAAGTTAAGGCCCAAATTAACTTAAGTTAACCGGAAAAGTCACTATGACGTGTCTCCGTTACTTCATTGCCCTGGTGGCTCTTTCCACCCAAGGCTCCAGACAAGCTGACACAAGATTATTACAAAATTACAATTGATAATTTAAATGTTGTGAATAATAATAAAAAATTTTAAATACCTTTTAAAAAATAAAGTATTTGAATAAGGGATTTTTAACATGTAAAATATAAGTTAAGGATATATTTATTGTATATTTATATTATTAATTTATTTTAAAA